GGGTGACGTTTTGTACATATGTGACTGTCTTATACAGGTGACCGTTAGTAGAGCAGAATTGGCTGTATTTAATACACAGTACAATTAATTATTAATTGAAGCACATTAATGTCAAGTCGTGCCAAGTTTCCATTTTGTTTCAACGCTACAGTTGTGCATTTTTTCCGCATGTTTTTGCATTCTGTGTTCAGGCTGGGCCTTACACTCCTAGAGGTAGACCAGAGATGTGCATGTGTAGTGTTTACATACGAGTTCCTACGCCTCTCTAGTTAGAGGTTGGCCGTTTGTTTAGTGGTGTTTGTGTTAATTTGTTGGATATTCTGTTCGCTTTGAGTGATGTCCATCCCCGGGCGCTCCATTAGCTCAGTTGGTTTCATGCTGGACTACGGAGCAGATGGTCCCGTTTCGAATTCCGGATTGGGCGTTCTTGAATTCGGGTCGTTTGGTGGAGTTTACAAGGTTCTCAATCCTTTTGGCTCGGTCGTATCGGAGATGGACGTTAAGTTCGGACGTACTGCCTCTGAAATAACCTAATAGTGTTGATAGGGGCGTTAATCCCATACACTTACAATCATTCACTTGAGGTCCATCTTTGACTTGTTTTTATGGAGTGTGTCTTTAGAGAGGTGGAGACAGGTGAACTAAGCCATGGCTGCAAGGAAGAAGTTTGCTGCAGACTCTGTGTGTATTCAGGCATACGTTCCAGCAGTTTACAGCGGTTTTTTATGTTGGTGTGTTTGCTACACAATTTAGATCATTTAGGAGGTGGGTTTCCCACCCTGCGTAGCACGACCAACTCAGGCTGAGAGCGGTACATAGTACATCCCAGCAGAAAGCCCAAGGTACTCGAAAAAAAAATGTGAGGCATCGTGGTGGAATCAGGCTCTCGTCAATTTTTGGGCATGTAGAGTTATTGGTGTCATCTTAAAGCTTGTTCACTTATTGGGATGGGGAAAATATCCAATTATCTTGAATACAAGTCAAGATATTTGTGAATGAAGGAGGTGGGGGTCACCTGTTTTCAGAGGTAAAAGAAGTTAGAAAATAACCGCTAAAGATTAGTTATTTCCTCAGCTTAAGAGTCCATGGTAACTGAAAATTTACATTTTTTGTGCCTTTAATCAACGTTTTTCAGAAATATCCACCCAGAAATGAATTCTTTAATCGGCATGAAAGGTGTTGGACCAAAAAACAAAAATTTGATAAAAATTCATAAACCTGCGGAAAAATGCAAGTTTCTTCACTTTGATTATTTTGACGAGAGCCTGATTCCACCACGCTGCCTCCCAAATGTTCTCCCCACTCGGGAACCGAACTCGGATTTCCTGCGGGCGACAGCGAGGTGCCGAACCGCTGCACCACAGACGCCGGTTACAGCTGAGTCTACCTGCGCGTGTAGTTGTTAGAATCTTGCCTGCAGCAAGTAAAAGACATTCGGGAGGTTGGAGGGCGCCACTGATAGTTCTTACTTCTTAACATTCCCTCTGTAGTTTCTCACTGTCTGTCTTACTTTTCCGCATAACTAAATGGCCGTCATTTTGTCGATGTGCTTCTTTTTACTCAAACGAACGAACGAACAAAGCAAAAGACGTGATTTCGATTCCGACCTGTGGAAGTTCATTTACCGTGTACTTACTCCCGAGTTTCTGTTTGGATGGTGTATTCCACTCTGCTCTGGTTGGTCTTTACACACCGGGGCGAAGCAGCCTCTTTCCTACCTAAATGATCTAAAATGTGTTAGACGAAAAGTGTGTGTGGGGGGGGGGGTTACACCAATTACAACAAGTTCGAAATTTCTTTTTGAGAGTTTTGGGGATTATGGAGTTCAGCAACCAGGATTCCATTGTGGATTTATGAAATTGTGTGTTCAGTTCAGTGGTGATTTGTGGTGATGCTGAAAGATTTCAAGGGACTATATTTATGATGGGAACTTGCCGGGTCAGCTTTGTTGGCCCTCTGGTTCTACTTTTACCAACCCATGTTGGGAACCCTGACCCTTCACGTTTGTTATGCAACGATATCATATACGTGACACAGAAAAGCCACTCCACACACTATTGGGAAATCAAGGTGGGGATCAAAATAGTGCTTTTCGAATAAGCAGTAGCCAACAATTAGGACCTATGGTAGTCATTATTTCCCCCCCCCCAACAACCCCCGCCTTTATCAAAGGGGACTCCGCTCCTATTTTTCAAACATACGCGCAGGTAGACGCGCCCCCCCCCGGCTGTTTTGGGTGTCCACGTATACTACTGTCCTCTTTAAAAAAATTATGTAGGGTGTTATTTATGTCCATACCCCATTTCGACGCAATGTAGATCGTTTAGGAGGCTGGCTTCCGACCCTGTCTGTCAGGGCCGACCCGGGCTGG